GGTTGTATATAGATCTTTAAACTTATGTTCCTAGCTATTGGCACAATTCAGAGGTATAAAGCATGTCTAGTAGCTAAAGGGTTTAACGAAACTGAAGGATTAACTATCATGATACTATCATACTTGTGATTAAAACGACAACAATAAGACTTCTTTTATCCCTAGCTGCCATTCAAAATTGGTTTTTACACCAACTTGACATCAACACTTCTTTTTTACATGTCGACTTAGACGAAGAACCACTACTACAAAACACATTCACTAACATAATACTACTACGGTTATGCTTTCCACCATTGTAATATCGCAAACTGGATGCACCAGATAGATTTTTTATTTTTTTGAAAGTTATTTAATCTTGGTTGAGATAAAAAATTGTGGTGATAAAGTAAGTGTTACAATCTCCGAATCCTAGCAACTACATTTTTTTTATTTCCCTATTACAAAAAGCGCGTGTCACTTATGTTCATAAATAAATAAAAAACTGAAAACTATTTAACCACTGTTTTACTATTTAAGCATTGTAATAAGATCTACATTTCACTGTGGTTGAATATAACAATCGTGGTCAAAGGTTTTCCTAATAAATTTAAATCAAAACAGATTTATTATTTCCTTCATAACATGCCCTAAGCGAACTAGCGAACCAACAAATCAACAAACAAGAGACAGCAGTGATAGCGATAGCGAAATCTTCATCTTTTTAATCTTCGTTCATTTAAATCTTTATTCTTGATAATCTTCACTATCTTCATTGTTGGTTTCTTCCTCTTCGAAGTACGGTATGTTTCTTGCAAACTTCACTATTTTCCTCATCTTTGTAATCCTTGATAATCTTTACTATCTTCATTCTTGTTTGATTTTGTGGTCTGTATCGCGCAAAGTTCATATGCTTTATGTTTTGTTTTTGGATTTAGCCGTGAATAAAAATATTATAACTTTGCTACAATAGATATCCATATGCTTAAGATTTAGAGTTGTATTATTGTTATGAATATGCTTTACTTTTTTGAAATTATTTAGGTTTATATTTTGTTGTGCCATTGACAAAATTGTTTTGATATAAATTTCAGAATTTATTATGGATTGTAGTTCGACGAAAACTGATAGATTAGGTCCGGTATATGAGAAAAGGATTCTTAAATTCCTTAAATACACTGGTCAAAATCTTCCCGACAATAATGATATCTTTTATTGTCCTTGTGTTAATTGCACGAATATAAATAAAGGTAACAGACAGGTTGAAAGCCTTGATGATTTTGATATCATCAATAGAAGAAGAAATAGTAGTAGCAGAGTTGGAGGAAGTCAACATAATATGATCCTTAATCTTGCCAAATGTGTGTAAGATATTAGGGGAGTTGCCTTTAAATCTCTCAACATTCTTAGCTTCCCACAAATAGGTCAGAGTGTAAGTAATAGCTACTCTATGAACCAGAGAACATTGTCTTGACATGTTAGTTATATAAGTTGTCCACCAATCCTCTAAGAGATGAGGAGGATTAGTTGTATTGATAGTGGTGTGGAACCAAACACACATTTTCTTTGAGAAAGAACAATAAAAAAGAGGTTCTTCAAGGTTTCAACGTTTTTCTTACAAAGTCTGCACTTAGACGAAATTTGACTCCCTTTATACTTGAGGTTATCATCAATTGGAAGTTTCTCTAACATGAGCTTCCAAATAAACAAAGATTTGAAGGGTGGTATATCTTTACACCAAATGATTTTGGCCCAATCAAAGGTGATTGAAGGATCTTTAAATTTGTAGGCCTCTTTCAATGATAGGGCTCCTGTGTGAGTTAGAGGCCAAATGAGGGAGTCTACATAATTGATGTTATCCAAGAGAATACCTTGAAGCGGAAGCCTAAGGAAAGGTAACAGAGTTAGTTAGTCATCAGACAAATGCCATTGACCATTGGTTATGAACTGCAACTCTAGAGTAGAGAGAAATACCATTATATATGAGGAAGTCAGTGCTAGTTTTCAAGATAAAAGGGTCACCACACCAAACATCAACCAGAATTTAACATTCTTCCCATTTTCAAAAAAAAACATGAGATCTTAGTTTTCATAAAAATGTTGAGAAATTAGTAACGGTCCAAGAACCAAATTAATTAACGCATAAATATTTAGTTTAATATTATTTCTATCAATTTTAGCTTACATTAAAAAGATCAGTTTTATTATATTTCATTTTATTAACCACTTGTTGCAGTAAAAAAAAGCACTTGTTGCATATGATTGTTGGGATGATTGGAATGTCACTGATTGATAATGTATTGATTTTATTATGAAAAATAATTAAATAATTTTGTGAATTTTTTATAGAATAATCTATTATTTTAAAAAATATAAAAATATTCATGTTATCAAAAAATTTACCAAAGTAACGTAGTTTGAGTTTTAGAGAACACGGATATGCCAAATGAAATGACCCATCCCTTGAAATGTTTTCCTATGTGTCATTTCAAATGGCTGATACATGTCCATCAAGCCATATGAAATGGCACCTACCTTTAATGAAACAACCCATGCACCATTTCATATGGCGCCACCCTTGTATTTTATTTCTATTTCTTTAAACCATCTATGTGTACACCATTTCAACTGGTTACTACTACACATTCCCCTTATAAATACTGATCACCATGTCTTCATTTTTCTCTGCACCAACAACTCTTCATTTTTCTCCGAACCAACTTCTCCTCATTCCTTTGTAAAAATGGCTTTCTCTTCTTCCTCCAAGTATCTCTACCAGGTTCCATATATCCACAAAAGAAATTCCAATTTAATTTTCTCGTCAGTTAAACCTCCAATGAAGATCGCCTCGGGAATACCCTAACATTATCATCTTAACAGGAGTCTCATCCGCTAGTTAGATGGAAACATTCCAGATGGTGAAAAGATCAGAAAAATTCAAAGGTTTGTTACCATGTTTAACCAAAATGGAGAAGTTCTTTTCAGGGAGAAGTTACTAATGACCAATATCTTCATATGTTGATGTATAGTTCTCAGGAAATTGTCCTGATGGTTGTAATCACTTAGTTATGTTGATTAGTCATTATATTTGTCTATTTTGTTGTTTAAGTGTTTAAATTATTGTTACTTGTTGTTTTTAAATTATTGTTATTGAATTTATGATATTAATTGAATGAAAGTTGTTTTTGATATAAAGGGACAATGTTAAATTTAAAACTATGATGTTGTGCTTGATCTTACATTGGAATATTTTGTACGATTGTGTCCGGACTAACGGCACGAACTACATAATCTGACCATTTTATTTGTCGTATCCATCTCTGTTTGAATACGTGTACTATTAGGGCGACCCTTTTTCTTTCTTCGCATAATTGTATTATTCTCAATCATAACAACAAGAGTTTAACCCTTACCGCCAACATCCATACACTGATACCACATCTACTTATAGCCACGATGACGCATCCGACTCCACCCCATTCCACAATAGCCCCCCACAAATGAACCCAGGAACATCCTACCACCAAAATACCCAACAACGGTTTGACTACCTTACCCCCACAACAGCCATTGCATCGTTTTTAAAATGATTTAGTGTACCATTTCGGTCAACCATACCGTTCTCACCTAACCCAACCATTGCCTCCCAACTTCGAAAACATAAGCACGAAACTAAATCACGGCAGTGCTGTATGCAGCAACCCCCTCCCCTGGCTATTAGGGACGGATGATTTAAAATTAGACCTTAAAGACATGCTAATGCGTTGGAATGTGGAATCAGGAGACACTTTGATCGAGACGTACATTGATTTTTTTTAATCATTTCTTGTGAACTTTAATCTCTTTTAATAATATTTTTAATTGTTTCTTATTTGTTTTTATTTTTTCCTAAGTTTTTAACATATTTTAAATTAATTTTTCTAATACAAAAAAAAAACAAAAAAAGAATAATTTAGGAAGGATGCACCATTTTATATGGCGCATGCACTCTAAATTATAGCAAGTGGTGTGTATGTGTTGTTTGATTTGACTACACCTACATATATGTTTCAAATCAAATGGCGCATGAAGTGATACGCTATTTTAATAAATACATTGAAACTAATGTTATTTTACTATTTAATTTGAATACATACGTTACTAAAAAAAATTCAAAATTTGTTTTACAAGTGAATAGAAAATTAAATTTTATCAACTTTTTAAAAAATTAGTAAAAAGAATTAAGGTGAGAATATTTTGGGGCTCATAATTAAAAAAAATAATATTTAAGACTCATAATTTTAGTAAAATTAAATTTCTTGAACTTATTTGATATTGTCAAAAATGACAAGCGATATTATATGATAACTATAACATATCTGCATTATATCTCATCCCAATATATTATTTAATGACACATCAAAATATAAGAAATCAATAAGATATCATAAAACAAATAAATAATTGATCATAAAAATTTAGATATAAATAATAATTTGATAATAAGTTAACGTTTTAAGAAATAAAATAAATTTAAAAATTATAATTAATATTTTTTAATATTAATATTTTTTACTTTTTATAAAAAGTTACATTTTTTTTGCAATGATATTTTTATTATTTACATATAATATATACTATATTTGTATATGACATATCTAAATATATAATATAAATTTTTTCTTTTAAATAAAATTAAATATTTGATAATGTATATGAATGTTTATAAAAATTATCAAAAAACTGGCTCATTACTTTTTAGATTTTTGTTAGTATATTTTGACTTATTTATTAACTATGTAACCAAAATACCGTAGGAATAGCAATTCTTTTAAGTATTTTGAAGGAAAAAAAAATATTTTTGTTTCAAAATCAAATCCAATCCATAAATAAAACTTGTTGGGTACGATTGAACCTTCTATAAATACTACTAAGCCCTTTGTTTTTTTTCACTCTCTTCACTCTCTATTTTCTAGCTTCAAATGCTTTTAGGGTTAGGGTTTTACCTATTCGAAAAAGAAAAGAAACCAAACTTTTCAATCATGGCTTCAACATCAACAAACGTGGCATCAACATCAGCCAAGAAGGTCATTCTCAAGAGTTCTGACGGTGAGATTTTTGAAATCGACCAGAAAGTTGCGATGGAATTACAAACCATCACGCATATGATTGAGGATGATTGCGCGGATGACACCGGAATCCCTCTCCCAAATGTAACCAGTAAGATTTTGGCGAAGGTCATTGAGTATTGCAAGAAACACGTTGAAGCAGCAGCGTATTCTGATGAAAGGCCTGCTGACAGGCCTGCTGACGAGAATACTATCAAGACCTGGGATGCAGAATTTGTCGAGGTTGATCAGGATACCCTCTTTGATCTCATATTGGCGGCAAACTACTTAGACATCAAGAGTCTGTTGGATCTTACATGCAAGACTGTTGCGACCATGATCGATGGTAAGACACCGGAGCAGATTCGCAGCACTTTCAACATTAAGAATGACTACACTAAGGAGGAAGAGGAGGAAGTTCGTCGCGAGAATAAATGGGCCTTTGACTGATTAATTTTCACTTTAAGATTATATTAGACATAGATGATAAGTTTAGAGATTAAGTTAATGCTTTATTCATTATTATACTTTAACATCTTCGGATCTTTGTTAAGGATCTGTCGTGTGAATTAATGTTATGTAGATTTATATATACTTACCGCTTGTTTAGTTGTTCTTAAATGATGCTGTGTTGATTGTTTTGTGCATTGGTTCTGTTTGGAATTAATATTGAAACAGTTTTTGTATCTTTTCATATGGTTCTATTATTCTGATCTTATTCACATACTGTGTAGTTATTCTGTAGTGTGTGTATATTTTCAGTTACTTGATTGGTTTTTAGAATTATAGTATCAATGTTGTTGTGATTGAATCATTAGCAGCCAAACAGTTTCTTAAATTCCTTCCTTAAGCCTAGCAGAATTTGTTGTTTTCCAAAATGTAATATAGATAAATGTTGGTACTAGAACTCATATCAATTATCTACTTACCTATTACTACGCCACCATTCAACTTAAATTACCATTTAATCAAAAATGCTTTAATGCCTAATGAAAGGAGTTTTTTTTTTTTTCCTTTAAATAACATATTCAACATTGTTAGAGTTGCTAATAACCTTATTTTCTTTCAAATTGTCACATTACAATTGATTTAAATTCATCTCACTACCTTATATCATTTTTCTCTCTCTTTTCATCTCATTTTCTAAAAAAGTGTCTCTCATCAAATCTGGTGTTGTGTCACCTCTCTCCTCTTTGTAAACTACACCAATTCAATCATCTGTATCATTCTCGCTTCCTCGTATATCTTCCTTGTAAGCAAACAACAACAAAAATAAGGTTCACTCTCATTCACACAAAACTTTGCTCCAACATTTTCATTGTAAGCGTGTTATTTTGTTGCAGTTTAAATGCATAAAAACTAAGATTTTTCCTGTGGAAGTTTGAAGTTGTCTTATTGTGTTCATGATTTTGCCTATTAAACATATATTTTTTTAAAATATTAATTTTTTTAAAAAAAAATATTTATTTTTAAAATTTATTTTATAACACAAATATAAAATTACGCATTAACCAACTTCACAATTGCATTAACCACAAAAATCCACATCATTAACCAATTATTTTACCTATAATTTATTAACCACTTTCACTACTTCATTATCCAATAAAATACATACCATTAACCATGTTCTGAGTATTTTTTTTCATATATTTATGAACAGTAAATTGGGTGTAAGGTGTAAAAAATGGTGTAGGAATAGCAAACCTGTTTTTGTATATTGCACGGTATCAATCAAAATTTAGATGTGCATTGAATTATTTTAGTCTTAGGATGCATACAAATGGTTTTGAAAATGATTGGAAATGTCTAGGCATGTTTCATACATCAAAAACTAAGTTTTATGTATGGACACTCTTGCACAGGCCAACACATACAATTTTAGGTCAACCTATAAAAGATTTTGGTTCAGTATAGGCCGACACGTAGAATTTCAGACCTACCTATAGAAGTTTGTGCTTCAATACAGGTCGGCACACAGATCTTACAGGATGACCTCTACGCATCAATATTAAAGCTTGTGAATTCTATCAATAGGTCGCCTTATTCAAGCCGACCTGAACACCTTAACAGGCCGATTTATTGCTAGGTTGATCTGTAGCCTTCAAAAACTCAAATTTTATTTTGCATTTATTTTTTCTTGCATCCTTTTTGCCTAATTCCACATACTCGTATATATACTCATACATGCACCTTCTTCTAGCAAGTTATTAGTGAATTACTTAAACAAAACCAAATTACAAAGCATTCACATCATCTTCAACCTCTCTTCTATGCATACACACAATTGAACTACACGTAATCATTTTTCGATTGGGTGACCATCTAGATTATGGTTGATAACGTCCAATAAAATCTGTTGAAAATTATATATATTTTTATGAAACAGATTTTAATTATAAAACAGATTTTAATATTTATATTATAAATAAATTTTAATTAAAATATTAGTATTTATATATATATATATATATATATATATATATATATATATATATATATATATATATATATATATATATATATATATATATATATATATATATATATATATATATATATATATATATATATATATATATATATATATATATATATATATATATATATATATATATATATCAAACAGATTTTAATTAAGATATTAGAACAGATAATATAAAACATATTCAGATTTATATTATAAACAGATTTAAAACATATATTATAGACAAAATATTATAAAACAGATTTATATTATAAACAGATTTAAAACATATATTATAAACATATTATAAACAGAATATTATAAAACAGATTTATATTATATATTATTTATTTAAAACAGAATATTTATTATTTAAAACAGAATATTTATTTAAAGCAGAATATTATATATTATTTATTATTTATTTATATAAAACAGAATGTTTATTTATTAAATATTAAATAGATTATATAATTAAACAGAATATATTATTTATATTATATAAAACAGAATATTTATATTATATTAAATATTAAATAGAATATAAAACAGATTTATATTATATATTATTTATTTAAAACAGAATATTTATTTATTTATAAACATATTTAAAACAGAATATTAAAACATATTATATATTATTTTTAAGAACAGAATATTTATTTATTTAAATTTTAAAACATATTATATATTTTTTTATAAAAGAATAGATTATATATATTAATATACACTTTTATTTAAAAAGTATGAGTTAAATCATAAAAATATATAATTTATAATATATTTAAGTTACATATACAAACTTTTTATATAAAGTATATAATTTGTAATATATACATTTTCTAAAATATTAATATAATTTGTAATACATTTTCATAAAAATATTTATTTTTTAAAATATTAATATAAATTTAGTAATATATTTATAAGAAACATAATATTCTTGTAAAAAGTATGTAATAAAAATTTTAAAAAAAATTATAAAATGTAATAAAAATTTATTATAAAATATATTAAATTATAAAATGTAATTATAATTATAATTATAAAATGTAATTAGTAATAAAATTATAAAATGTAATTAGTAATATATTTATAAGAAACATAATATAATTGGTAATATATAATTATAAAATGTAATAAAAATTTATTATATAATATATTATTATTCTAATATAATTATTTCAATATAACTATTAATTTTAAAAAATATAATATAATTATTGGCTACGGGTTAATCCCTCGCAAATCCCAAAACGTGGGACAGCTGGCTAGGGGCTTAACCCCTCGCAAATGCATTACACAGCTGGCTAGGGGATTCGCCCCTCACTAATTTCAGGAATCACGTGACTTAGCTAGGGGCTTATCCCCTCGCAATCTGTTCTGACAGGTCTGAACCCCTCTCTGCCTCTAGTCTGTGGCTACGTCTGTGGTGCAGGAGGAGGATTTTTTTCATTACATTTTGCGAGGGGCTTATCCCCTCGCCAATTATTTGTGATGCCCTGATTAGCTAAGGGCTCTGTCCCCTCGCAAATTATGATTTTGTGATGAGTTTTTTGATTTAGTGAGGGGTTTAAGCCCTAGCTAAATTCGTTTTTTCTTGTAGTGTGGGTTGGGATCTTAGTGTGTTTCAAATAAGAAAATTAAAGTGGGGTTTTCCTTCAAGATCATTGGAATTTGAAGGTTTTGGACAAGATCACGTCAACACGGATTCGACCCGGTGAAAGCCTTTAAACAAGGTGCTTTCCTTGCAATGGAGTAGCGCGAGACGATGAATCGTGTTCGAGAATCTTGAATTCAACAATTGCGTCCTCAGGATAATCGGTGGATTATAATTGCATTGTTAGTGACTTGATCAAGCTTTGAACAAGGGTTTGAAGGTGGTTAAATCAACAACAAACCATAAGGTTTATGGGGTTATAGTTCTTCATCTATTGTATAAACATTTTTGCAATGATAAGGTTAATTGCATGTATCTAAATTCAATTTTGGGTTGAGGGCAGACGTACCCATAGCGAGCCGACTGGGGAATTGTCTAAACAAATCTTTGTATCTCTTTATCGCTTTATTTCTCTATTTCTTTAGTTGTTGTTCTTGCAAATTATCGATATCGTTGTTGTTTCAGTTAATTCGATTGGAAATTGTTTAAAATTATTTTTTAAAGTGTTGTTGTTTATAAAATGATATTTTTTATTGTGATTGACTTTTAACATCAACAAAATAAATATAATTTCTAAACGTGATAAATCGCACACAAAGTGTTTGATAAATCATCTTTGAGTAATTTTACGAATAGCTTTGTATTTGCTTGATCCGTTAATTAATCGTTGTTGAACAGTTTGTGTTCATTATCATTCTATCGGTTTTCATTATACATGTCTGAGCTTTTCGATAGTAGGTTCGGTTATACGATTCGATTCGGGTTGTTTCCGATGTGCCATATTTTTTTTTAATTTCAAAGAATTTTTTGTTTTAAATTTGTGATATATTCAACCCCCCCCCCCTTCTAGATCGATGTCTATCGTTTAACAAGTGTTATCAAGAGCTCTAGTTAATTTAATGCTTGAGATTTACTCTTTATAAGAATGGCTACCGAACCTAAGAGAGCGTACAATAGAGCACCAATTTTCACCAATGAAAATTACGGCAATTGGAAAGCTCTTATACGTATTCACGTCAACTTCGTTGACAAAGGTATATGCGACGCTATCCAAAATGGTCCAAATAGAATAACTATGACCAATTCAGAGGGTGTTACCATACCTAAACTGGAAGCAGAGTGGAATGCTAATAATTGGAAATTATGGTCACATAATTGGAAAGCGAAAAACATTCCCACATCCGCTTTGGGTGTGTTTCCCTTGAAAATCGGAAAACAACCGCTGATCTTCCAAATCTAACTTTGGTGACTCACAGGATCGATCAGATTGATCCTAGGACATGTGCTAAAAGGCTTTTTGTTTTTAAAAGTCTATCCAAGTTA